TGGGGAATTCTGGGAGTTGAAGTCCACCCATCTTGAAGTTGCCAAGGTTGAGAAACACTGATCTAGACTAATGCTAAGGAGTCCGTGCAGGATGTAGAAACCAAGGTTTGGTTCATACATACGGTGACCAAATTCTCTTGGAAAAAATGAAGGACAAACCTGAAAAAGGGGCAAATCTGAAAGAGGTTCCTAAGGATTAAAAAAAGAAAAAAAGCTGTTTATGTTTATAACTTTGCTTTACAAAGGAAAATTCAAGAGCAAAACCAGGAAAAGCTTTACAAAAGCACCTATTCTAATAAAGATACCTCAAAAGCATAAAAAAGCTATGAAGGTATAAGAAGCAAGTATTTAAAAGGATTTTTGCAATCAGACTGCACATTAAGAGGTACCATGTGTACGATACCAGTGAAAGGGCCAACATAAAGGACAAGAGCGAGTTTTTGAAAACGATATCAATCTAAAGGGCAGCTTTCTGAAATAAAGGAGAGTCCTTTATAATAAAGGACATGCGGTCTCTGTATTCATCTGTACAAATTATAGTGTGGCTTCTTTTTGATGGTGTAATGTGTAAATTTCTCTATGATACAAGAGGTGCCAGAAGTGTGGCCTGGGGTCTGCATTCCCCTCACCAGCCTCCCTTTTGTAGCTTCCTGACCCCCGCCTTCAGGGAGGGGAAAATTCTGGGTCCTTATTTGGCATTTGGGGAGGGTTTTAAAGGGACAAACAGGTGCTTTAAACCCTTGCAAATGCTTATGGCATCCAATTAATATTCCTGAGCAGGCCCCAGCCCTGCCCAGCTGTGGAATGAGACTTCAAAGCACCCTCTTGGCACTGCAGCCCCGCATGACGTGCCAACCAGGCCATGATGGCTTGTTTAGCCAACTATGTTGCTTCAGCACGAGGCACAAAACCAGCCCAAGAATCCTGGGCCTTCTCACAGGCAATCGGATCTGGGAACCCAACACGTCAAGAGGAGCCCAGAACCCTACCCTAGAACATAACCTAAACCAGCCCTGGGTCCACACACAAAAAATTGCCCTGCCTCTTCCAGGGTTCTGGTTTAACTGCAGATCATGATGCTTTGCTGGCAGGGAATCAGTCGAGACAACAGCGGAGCAAGAAAAAAAAGAATAGCCAGAGAGGTCTTCCCACATGGTGGCGGAGGATCTGCGCCCAAATGCTGGCTTGTTCCCCACATCTGGGGAGCATCTGGGGAGGTGGACCTTGCATCTGGGGAACATCTGGGGGTGTGGAACTTTCAAAGTGAAGGCACAGCTGCTGCTAACATGGCCGTATCCAAGGTGGGCCCACCTTGATGTAACCCAGGTGAACAGAAAGAAGTTGATGGAGGCTAAGCAAACACCGCGGGCACGCTCAACTCGCCATGTCAAAATAAGCCTTCTCGAAAGAAGCAGCAAAATGCAAGGAACTCGGAAAACTCCAGAGGGCTCCGGGGTGGGGGTTGAAAATGGCAGGAAAATTTCACCTCTCTTCCACTGCAAACCTGCCCCCCAAGGTCACCTCCCATACCCAAACCCTCAACTCTCACTGGTGCAAGAATGATTCTTCCCAGAACCGACTCTATTTATTACCAGAATATGCCCTGTTTATTTGCACTTGTCAGTCGCAAAAGGCTTCCCTCCCATCCCCAATCATACAAGAAAGAAAAAATACTTCTATCAAGAAGCAGAAATTTGCTCATTTGATGTTAACCATTTCTTCCTCTCTTCAGAAAGGAGGAAGCTGTCGTTTCCAAACTACACATGACCCAGGCCTCTTTTTTGCATCCTCGAAGCTCCTCACCCAATACGATCTGCAGAAAATCACCAGCGCCAACTTCCAGCTATTTTGGGGCAGGAAGCACACACAAAGGGTAAGCCCTAGATGTAACAGCTGAAGTAAGAAAATGAAAGCACCATCACCGTGCCTCTGCAAAGAAAACTCGTAAAATTCCAGCTCCTCTTCTTTGCACAATTCAGCCCCGCCATGATCCCTGGCCCATTCAGGCCTCAATTTCCCCTCCCATCCCTTGTGTGACAAACAGCAACCCCTCGCCACCCAAAAGCTCCCCGTCCTCATTCAGGAAGTCATAAAAGGAGAAAGGTGAACAGAGCTGCAACGTTTCTCATAACAGCACGGAACAGAGGATTTTGCAAGTTTGAGCAGGTGCGGAAAAAAAACGTTGCCTCCTAGGAAGATCACCTTCTCTATCCTAAAATAAAAACTTGGTGTCCTTGGCATTGCCTTTTCCTGCCTCTCCTTTTTTCCTATTAGAACAGTGTTAAGAGGCTGAAGTTCAAGCAGGGGGAAAATGGATGTGGGGGGATTGAATCTGACCCATTGAAGATCCAAGTTTAGATCAGGACAGACAAGTTCTGTTTTGTTCTGTTGCCAGATCACTTTCACACACATCTGTGCATCATCTTCACTTCTGTCAGATATATATACATTACATTACATACATTAAATCAGCACAAACCCTGTGATATAAAATTGCAATTATAGAAGTCCATAATGCTGGGAAAGATGGAAGAGAGGAGGACAACTGGTAGCAAGGTGGAAGGACTTAGTTACAGTGGTGATGGGGGCAGTGTTGGAAGATCTGAAGGACCAGGTTGGGGACAGATTATTATGGAGAAAATCTACCTATGTGGTCACTAAGAGTCGACACTGACTTGATGCCATGTCAATCAATCAATCCAAAGACCCAATTCTTTGGAAAAGGCTCTAATGCTGGGAAAGGTGGAAGGAAAGAGAAGAAGAGGATGACCAGCAGCAAGGAGGATGGACTCAGTTACGATGGCGATGGGGGTGCTGTTTGAAGAGCTGAAGGACCAGGTAAGGGACAAATTACTATGGAGAAATCTAACTATGCTAACAGCAACTTGATGGCACATAATCAATC